TCAGAGGCAATGCCCTAGCCTCTTTTGAGGAGTCTGTTGACCTCGATTCTCTTTTATGACACCGTAGGAAATTTCTAGAGTTATTTGTTACCCTTGTCGCGAGGCTCAGGCAATGATGCGACCTCGAACGAACAGAGCCAACGGCCTAGCCTCGCTTGACCTGGTTTCACCGCTGTATACTGCTCGTGTTAATATTCAAACGTCGTGGAACCTGTGATGGAGAGTAACTTCATTAAAATCTATATATCTTGTCCCAGTTTGCAACATCAAGGTGAATGTCCGCGATATAGCGCGAACTCCCCCTTCCCTGCTTCAACATCTCTGCTAATGCCGTTTAGCGTTTGCAGTCCATCCTGACATTTAACCGTGTCAGCATACAGAACACTTTAATTTTCTTTTGGTATTTCGAAGAATGTTCGGGTCGTTCAATCCATTGGAGGTCTAGGGTTTACTCTTTACCTGAGATCGGCCTACCCAAACTCTTGTTATATTTGTGTTATTACCTTGAGCACTTAAGTCGTTCTTGCAAGTATAATTGTAATCGTATTGATTGTTATTGAAGGCTGAGGAAATTAATTTATTAACTCGTAGATCTAAATTGTAAATACGATATGTGGGAGAATGTATGCTCCATTGTTTAATGTCGAACAGTAAAAATCTGTGTGTGAGATTTCAGGTTCTCATGACAGTGAAAATGTTGATTGCTATCTAATGGGTTGTGACACTGTGTGGTCTCATAGTTGGTTACTGACTTCTTTTATTTCAACCCAAAGAAAAAAGCGACACCTTCCACGTAAATGTTGGTATCCACCTCCAAGGCCACTATTGACTCATTAATTTTTCATCAAATTCTTATCAACTCAGTTTCGACTTTTCGACAGTTTAAACTGTAGTCCGGACAATGTGAATAGTGATGAAATTACAAAGCCATGTTAGATTGCAATGAAATCCAAAATGAAACGTACCGTATGGATATTTTTACATTCTGCATTTCGCCACCCGAGAGAAATTATTTATTTTCCTCTTATTTTTATTTCCTATAACGAGACAATTCCTCACATTATACTATATTACAGAATAAAGATTTATTTTGTTATTATCCGAACGATAGTTACACTACTAAGAATTTAGATGAGTTTACATTCGTTGAGAATCATAAATGAGTCTTCAACAATTATATAGTACCATTCAAGTATAAGATGATGCCTGTATTTTTAGACTTAACCTGTCAGATTTATCAGTATCGTGCTCATGAAAAACTGCGTCATTTTTCAGCGGGACGAAGTATCAGGAACATTTTATCATTTTCTGTCCTTCGAGAGAGATCAGTCGGATGATACAAATCCTAAACAGGATTCGAAGTTATGATCCCGGTTTTCAAGCTGATTTTTACCTAGAAGACACCGAAACAGGAAATAAATTAGGATGTCACT